CGAGCTCGCCCAATCGATTATTGACTCCGAAAACTGCGGTACAAAATTACAGCTGAATATCTTCTTTGTATCATTTACAAAGCAAAAGAAAGTTAAAGAACCTCTTTGTTGAGAGAAGTGTTCTCTGGGAAAGTCTAAGGAAAGTCGTAATCGCTCGCCATCTGGCAAACGTGCCCGGTATAAGATGCTTCGCCTTTTGGGATGCGGAATGCGGACGGAGCGATGAGCGACCGAGCCAGACAGCCGAGCCGAACAACCGAGCCGAACAGCCGAGCCGAACTCCAGCGGCAGAACCGCGCCGACCCCCCGCGCCGAACAGCAGGCGAACAACCGAGCCGAACAACCGGGCCGAACAACCGAGGCCGAACAACCGAGCCACGACAACCGGAGCCGAACAACCGAGGCCCAGAGCAACCCCGGAGCCGAACAGCAGGCCGAACAAGCCGCGCCGAACAACCGAGCTAACTATTCATTTAAAAGCTGTCTTTACTAAGTCCAAAAAGAAGCTTTGAGTAACACTACTATTACTGTTTTGCCTTTGATCGCTAATAAGAGGCACAGAATATAGAGATTTCACTCACCCATGGAATGAGAAAACATAGATGAGATCCTCGGTATCCTGATATTCCCACATTTTGAGGCTAAAAAGGGTGTATAGTGTAATTTGAAAATGAAAAGAGAGAAGGAGGATCAAGTTTTTCAAATTATTTTCCTACTAAAGAGACAATGGAAATCAAAGGTAATCGTTTTGCTGGAAAATGAGACCAAAAGAGAGATCATTTTGACTGAAAACTGAATGAGACCGAAAGAGAGATCATTTTGACTGAAAAAGATAATTCTTTCCCATTTCTTGATTCATTTCTTGATTTCTTTACACTCTTTGTGCTTGATTCTCTCAAGAAAGACAGGATTTAGCTCTTCATTTTCTTTCTTTATTCTCTGAGATTCTTTTCTTGCAGAAAATGTGGAAATAATGAAATTTACTTCTCTTCAGAAGTACATTAATGCGTTAAATTATTGGGGAAAAGGAAAGTGGGGAGGAAATAAAATGAGCCGACGTGTTGTCACGTTCTCGCTTAGACACGGAAAAATAATTGAAGCATTTATGAATCACTAAGTTGGAGTTGCTAGAACCGAATGACTGGGATACGTAAAATGTGTATAAGGAAAGAAATTTCTTGTCTTAAAATATGTCCCATGAAATTTGTCCTTTTCTTTTTCCTTTCCCATAGAAAAAGGAGTCATTATTTACCGTTTTCCCTGATCGATCTTGAATTCCCTCGAAGTTTGCCTTTCGTTTCTGAGAAGAACATGCGCCGAATCTCTTTTCTCATCAGTCATTTCTGATTCAGCAAAACCTAGAGCTATTCCCCGAAACTTTCCTCAAACTTTCATAAAACAAAAGCCACATGTGTTTTTTTTGTATGATATCTTATGACAATTCCCAAATTCCATTAAAAATCAATTTTACATTTTGACTTTTGGGTTTAAAATTGCACCAGAGAGAATATGTTTACAGCCAAATAAAAGTACAAAAAAAAATGCATCTACAACATTGCACAGAAATTTTCTAATCTTTTTTCATATAAATTTCGATGACGCCACAAGATCCACACAGCTAATTGCATTTGAACTGAGATTGAAACAAGAAAAATGGGTTCAGAGAGAGGTGATTAATTTAAATTGCAAAGCACATTGGAGTGAATAAATAATCTCAAACACTAGAATTGGATCTATCAAATGGCTAAAAAATTTGGCAATCTTATAACAAAAAGACAAGAAGAAACCTCAGGGTTGTTATCGAAAATTTGGAAACAAAATGAAATTTCCCGTTTACCTAGGTTCTTTTTCTTCTCTTTTTTGCGGAATCGAAAGCACGAAAAGTAAAAAGAGAGAAGAACTCTAGTAAAAGAGTCAAAGAATAAAAGAGCTTTTTTTGTCGAATCGACCAAAAATGGAGGGAAGCCGGAGAAAGGTGTAATAAAGAGAGCCGTTCGTTTCCCCGTCAAAGCCCAGTTTAAGATCTTTGCCCGAATCCATATTTAGTTTCTAAATTAGCCTAGAAAAAGTTTTCCGAAGCTATGCAGTCGTTACAATTTATGTGAAATTAGAAGTAATGCTCGATTCACTGCCCCAAGCTTTGGAGACACTGGAGGCTGGTCAAAAAACACTTCTCAATTTCTAACTGTAATTCAGTTGTCATAAATATGACAGTACCTTCGAAGTACCTTAAAAAGTGGTTTTTGGGAAAAACGTGGCCCAAAACTACCTTAGTACCCATCAATTTTTGTGCTAGACAAAAATTCGAGATATGCCAATAAAAGAGGCGTTCGTTTAGAGGTTTTGAATAAAAGGCGTTTCCCCGTCCAGCTCCTCCATTTCACAACTATCCATTTTCATTCCGAGGAGGTCATTTTCGGCTGAAAAAAGCTCCAGAAGAAAGAAAACTTAAATAGAGTTTTGCGAACAGAAATCTCAAAGAAAGGTCCAACTCTTTTCTCGTTTGAATCCAGCTAGAAGAAAAAGGGATGACTGGGGAAATGTCTTCGTCTATTTTGAGAAATGTTTGTCTATCAACCAAATCCAAAAAGATCCCCAGTTTATTGAAAACTTCAAATTACAATTATATAAGTTTAGCTTCAAGGAAGAAATGGATATAAAAAGACTGATCAGGCGTCCAGGGACTGATGAGCTTCTTCGCCCAGGAAGAGTTAAAATGATAAATAAGACTAAATTCTTCATGAATCTTAAGCTTCCTCAAACGTTTTTCTCATCAATTTCCCTAAATATTGGTCCAAGAAACGAACATTCCAAATATCTCTTCCTCAAAAAAACACTTCTCAGAACTTAGATTATTGAAGCCAAACAAAGATCAAATATTCAGTCAACACAAATGTCGATCTTCAAAAGTTGAGCTTGAATCTTTTTTTATGTGCGAAATTGGCTTTCACGAGAATTAATCAGCAAAAACAAGAGATCATTCCTAAAAGAGATCCTAAAAAGAGATTTGTCATAATCAGGGTTGTTTTCAAAAATGAAAACTTGTACACTACCTAAAAAGAAAATATGATAAATGTGAAATTTCAATGAACGACTAGGATAAAGATCTTTCTTTTCCCCAACAAATAACGCATAAATTGGATGGAGAAAGATCGTTTTTCTTAAACGAGCCTCCTTTGAAAAATATCAAAATGAACGAAGGAAAAAGCGAAAAAAAATTGATTCCCTATTGTCGTTTTATTTTTTTAGCGTCTTTATTGTTCAAGTTAGTGCAGAAATATGAAAAATAACAGAGAACAAGCGCTAGTTATTCAGTTTACCTGAGATTATTTTATTTGACACTAACTTGCGCGATAAATAAAATTAACGCCAACCAAGCAATACCAGTACTCACTTGTAGCTCCTATTGATCTATGAAAAAGGAGTGGGACAAATGCGACCTTTTTTGCACACCTTTTTTTTTCCACATAGCCCATTATCGCACTTTTTTTCTGTTTAAAAAAGCTCTAAAAGTTAATATTAACCAATTTCTATTTCAAAATTTGTTTTCTAGGTAAATTTTTAGGGCGTGAATCAAGATTTTGGCATATCAGAGCTTTGTGAAACAAACGGACGGAGTTATACAAAGAGAAAAATTCAACAATTTTCTGTAATTTGATCTATGCCGTTTTGTCTTTCAAATTGGTTCCACAAGCTCTGATATGTCAAAATTTCAGATTCTACGCCCTAAAATTACCTAGAAAAACAACATTTGGAATAGAAATTGGTTAATATTAGCTTTTTAGAGCTTTTTAAAACGCGAAAAAAGGTGCGCTAATGGGCAAGGTGCGGAAAAAAAGGTGCGCAAATGTCCAGGTGCGCAAAAAAAAGGTCACATCTGCCCCACTCCCATGAAAAAACTTTCTGTTCTGTTAAACTTTCAAGAAGAGAGAAGCATAAGAAGAAACAAGTATGTTTAACAAAAGAACTTCTTTTGAATACCAATCAACTATAAGAAACAAGAATCAACTCTTTCACAAGTAGATTGAATTGGTCAAAAAGCTACTGAAACAATGTTTTCAATGCTTTTGAGTCAAATGTTGAGAAGTTACTTTGTTAAAACAAAAAAAAACAAATTCAATACGTAATTGCTTTAAACCGGACTCTAGTTCTGAAACACATGAATAGATCGGGATTTAGATGGGAAAATTGTTTGTGAGATTTTAATGAGTTTCGCTTTTTGCTCGTTTAAGGTTAGATTCCGAGACGCACGTTTCGAATTTTCCAATATCCAACTCACAAATTCTGAGTAACTATTTTTCACACACAAATATGTATCAAGTGACCATAAAAAACAATAGATCGAAAAACTTTTTAAACACACAAAAGGTCATTTCAAAAAATTGCAACGCTTCATTTGATGAGATTCAATCAATTTGACCACAATGCATGATTTGAGGCAACCAGAGGTGGTAGATGTAGAGGAAAAAATGAAAATCCCCAACACAGCCCAGCATCGCATCTCCACCCAATTTGCGCAACTATCGGTTTCGAGCTAAAATCAAAAAGATCCTTTTAAAGCGCTTGAATATGCTCACCTTTTGCACTGGTTGGTCAATTATTTACCATGTGAAGTTCTAGTTGGAGCATTTAAGCCGGTCACCTGTGCATGTTTCGTGAGAAATTCTAAAACTTGACATCCAAATAAGTAACGCTAAAGAAACCGCACCTTGATAAGTCATATACTGTTCATCGGGCGGATAATGTCCAACTTCGTTAGTGAGGTTGTGCACTTGCTGTCGTTACTTCCAGTAGCAATCTGGAGTGGTAAACTTCAAGCGAACAATAAAATTCGAAACCTCGGCTGGAAGTGGCCGGCTGTTTGTGGTGAAGGTTCGCAAGACTCGAAATTTTTCCTCTTTTGCGATTTTGTTGGTGTATGTGATTTCCAAACAGGATATTTTTAAATCCTGAAAAGGAATCAATTATACGCCTCGTCCCCGTATGCTGTTGTCTCATCATTTTTTTGTTTGTCCAGTCGAAGCCTATAATAAAACCATTTTATTTAAATCGCTGCAAACCACTTACCGATGAAATTCTAGCAGAAATCGGTGCAACTAATTTATTGTCCATGGGAGGAAGTTCCTCGACGAGTCGAGTTCTAAAAAAATGTTACATTTTTGCCCCAATAAAATATAAATTGTAAGCAATAATATATATATATATATAAATAAATACGCGATATTACTTGTTTGAGTTGGCACTTTCGGAATACAAAATCGGCGTCGGTTGTTCTTGAAATTTCAAAGAATCTCCACAAGGTTCACAAGCCGGGAAATTAGGTGTTGTTGTAGCGCGATGTTGCTAAAAATAAAATGTTGATCTTATTAATGATATATTTCAACCGTTCTTTGAGTGGTACTTGATTGAGAAACTATTGAAGAGCTCGATGTAGTTTGTGTCGTAACAGCTGGTGTTGAGATCGATAAAGCAGAAGTGACTAAACAGAACACATCACTACTTTTAAATCCTAAACTTTCAATCGCGTAAGCCGTACCAGTTTGACTGGTGCTCGATGACGACGTTGAATCGTTTGCTTTGTCTGCATATATTGCCGTTAATCTATTTTTCACTTCCGCAACATTTGGTTTCGTGGGAAGCAAAGTTCTTTGAAACTTTCCATCGGTCGCCTAAAAAGATTTCTTTAAAACATTAACAGCCTTCACACTCAATTTTTTTTATTGGCACATATTAAACGCACTTTCTGGAAATAAACCTTTTTCTAATAAACAAATTAAAACTTACTTCAACATTAACATTGTGCGAGATAAGTTGAGGAGTGGCATTCGGTATTGTAGAAAGTTGCTCGTTGAAGCCATTGTCATTTTGATTTTGCTGTGGTGGCGCCTTTCCAGGACGAATTACTAAAACACAATTACATAAAAGAAAAAAACTATCTACTGACAAAGTTGATGACGAAGATCTCTGCACGGTCATGTTGTTCCTTTGGCACTGATGGACGCCATACAGATGGGTCTAACATACTAGAGAAAATGGATACAAGTAAGTGTTGAATAACGAAACCGAATACCTGGTTATTTGTGGATGATTTAGAGGTGGTTGTTGTCTTGCTCGTCGACTCTCATTTGAAGGTTTCCAATGACGAGCCACTTCATCATATCCCTCGACACGAAACCGAACGTCTGCCTTAAATAAAAAGATTAGAAAATGTGCAACATTGTAAAGGACAGCTAATGAAAGGTTAATTTCTGATATGGTTCACCAATCCTTAACATAGGTGTGGCCTAGTTTCGAAATTTTAATGCACTCGCTGTAAAAAATGTTGGTTACTTGTCAGTTACGTCTCCCATTTGTGAGTAAAATCAACAAATTGCATGAAACAGGCTCGTTGTGCATACGTTTAAACAAGTTTAAGCTTATAAAGCCACTTGAAATAGCTCTACTTTGAAGTTGTTGCAGCTATACTAACAAAACAGGGTGCTCTTTCAGCTGTTTGCTCAAAACGGTAATCGACAAGTACCAAATATTACGTGGGCAAGACTATGCGATTATCGTTTTCAAGTGGTGATACTAATATCAAAAAATTTGAAAATTAAAACCTCACTTGATAGGTTGGACCTTGCCCGGACATTAAGAAAATAAAAATGAGAAATTTGTAAATTTGCGACGTTTTGGAGAGAAGATGAAGCGTTAAATGCAACTTTTGGCATATGCAAAACATGGCAGAAATGTTTGTTACAATGTCTTTTATGTTTGCTCGCCAAACTCTGCGAGTTTTTACTCGCTATAAACATAATATCATTTTTCTCATAAGCTTTTCCGATATAATGTAACTAATTTTGAGATTGCACAATTTGTTCCAAAACCAGTATTGGCGCGAAGATGAAGCTTAAATGTACCTTTTGGCAAATGCAAATCGACAGCAATGTTGTTAAAATGACTTTGTTTATCTGTTTTCAGTTGAAAAGCTTCTGTATTGATTTTGTTTCTCATAACTTTTGCAGATAAAGTCTTGTGTTAAAGATTTAATGTAAAAAAGCATGACTATTTATAAATAAACCTTCAAAGACAAAAGGATGAACAAGAGAAAAAACAGAAAGGGATCGACCCGAAATACGGAGTTTCAAAAAAAGATTTTAATTAACTATAAGGGGAAAAGCTTACAAAAAATGAAAAACAATACTCCGTTTTCTCTGAAAAAAAAAACTGATAAAGCTATTGGTGGAGCCGTGTGTAAAAAAGGGGGGAAAATTAATACGTGAAAATAGAGAAATATGCACGAGTTTGAGGTGAGAGGAATGGCTTCGATTGGAGACAAATCACATATTCAATATGAAAAAGGAAAAAAAAAAGTCCAAATACTTTCAAATTTAAAATCAAAAATTGGCATATTTGAATGCAGATTTTGAGAAGAAATTGGCCTCTTATAGAAATCGGTTTTTAGATAAAGAATAGATACAATTACCTATGGAATACATGAGCTTTAGTCAATCCTGCAAAACAGAAGTAACCCAAAGTTACTTCCAAAAATTCATCATTATTCTTTTGAAACATAACGCTTCGTACTTTTGTGCTTAACAACAACAAAACGCTTTGTTTCATAGGAAAATGATAGACAGGGAAATTGCTGCTGAACTCTGGCAGTAACACTGGAAAATTGTTTGAGTTAACAAATTCTTGAAAAAAATAGTTATTTTGATAGTTAGCAAGATGAATCTTCAGGACAATTCGTTGCTGTTTAAAGGCTTAAAATAAATTCTTAAGTATTTACTCCTAAAATTTAAGAAGACAATTATGGGGGAACATATGGAGGTGGAAGTCTTTGCATGATGGAGTACCAGCCAACCCGGGAGTTGTACCGCGAGGAGAGAATGAAGAAGTGAGTGGAGGTGGTGGCTTGTACAACGGATTCTCGTGTTGCGACACCTAAAAGAATATTGAGTTTGAAATATTTAATTAAATAAGTTATTTGAAATCTTTAGAAATCAATGAATCGTCGATTTACCTTCAATGGTGGTCCTCCTCTTTGACAAGCATTGGCGTTGATGCCGATGGCTGTCTCCGATTCATCAGCCACCTACAAAATCAATTGTTTTTGTCATTAGTCTCTCTCTTTCTTCCTTTCTTTCTCTTCCTTATCTTTCCTATTTCTTCTTGGGTAAAAGAATAGCTTAAAGAATAGCGCCGATAGCTCGGTGATAGAGCATCTGCCTGATAAGCAGAAGGTCGAGGGTTCAATTCCCCCGTCGACTTCAAATCCTTTGCCGTTCATTTCTTTACTTTATTATCCACCGATCCACCGATAATAAAGTTCTCATTCATACAAACCTCTTCGGGGGAAAACGACGGGTAATCCTTTGTGAGACAAACTCGCTTGGTTTCTCCTTCTTTTTGGTCTCTTAGCCAAACAACAGCATAATGCGAGAGCAATCGACAAATAAAGAAGAGCCAACGCTGCAGCCAAAGCCAACCATCCAAAGCCGGATTCACGATTTGGAGAGACAACAGACGGTGATGAGGAATCGGATGATGCTGATGGAAGAGCAAGCACCTAGAAGGATTATTTGAGTCACATTGTCCTTCTCATTGTTATCTTATTGTCCTTTACTCCACCAGTGAAATTGAGTCCCAACTTTCTCACCATATACTCTGGACCCATTGCCTTCATGAAAACACCCTAAATATTTCTAGTTTAATAAATTCAATCTCTTTCCCACCTTTGGATTGTTTTGTTTCTTCGTGGCCATTGTCAGCTTCATTGCCTCAATTTCATCAGTTGGACAAATCTGAAAATTTTCTGTAAAACCCTTTTAACTGAATCTATTACCCGCAGTTGATAGATTAGCGTTACTCAATAGATTACAGCTTTCCCGTTTGTGACTTCTCGACTCGATCAACCATTACAGAATCAGTCGAAGCTGAAAGATGCTTTGAAAATTCATTGACAAGGGAAAACCTTTAAAAGCAGACAAGTCGTTGAACGAATCCAACCAAAAGATGAGGATTTGATGTGTATCGATCATATAAAGTGTCCATTTCGAAGAAGAATTTGTGATTTGGAATTGAGGAGTCTTCTACCAAAACATTGAATGGAGCGGATACCATCTGAAAAGAATCATAATAAATCTTATTGCTAGAATGACATTCAATTTTTTGTTATCTTGAAGCTCTAGTGGATCCTTGGCTTTATCTGTGCTACCCACATTTTACATATATTATATCGTGTTTCTTTTTATCGGTCCTTTTCGTGTTATATGTATGAATTCATGTGTTTTAATCTTAAATCTAGCGCACTTTATCTCAGGTCCTGAATAAAGTATCTATATGTTGTGTCCGATTTAGATTTCCGTCCGATTTAGATTTCCGTCCGATTTAGATTTCCGTCCGATTTAGATTTCCGTCCGATTTAGATTTCCGTCGATTTAGATTTCCGTCCGCAATTAGTTTGATTTCCGTCCGATTTAGGATTCCGTCCGATTTAGATTTCCGTCCGATTTAGATTTCCGTCCGATTTAGATTTCCGTCCGATTTAGATTTCCGTCCGATTTAGATTACAGTCTATATCGGACGTCCGATATAGACTGTAATCAATAAAAGACCTTTGAAAAATGCAGAAAACTACAGAAAAGAACATATATTAAGCATGTTTATATTATTGTTCAATTTATATTATTGTTAAGATTTAGATTGAATCTAAATCGGACGGAAATCTAATTCGGACCTAACAATATACCTTTCAAAACTTCAAATAAAATACATCCATTTCTTTTCGTGAATCGAATAAGAGTACGAATTTCTTAAGCTCTCAAAATCCATTTTCATTTTCACCTGATTATTTTTGTCTCTTGCTTCGAGTCTCATCTGGAATTCTCCTTCTTTCAATGGAACGGCCGATATTTGCATTTTGTCCACCTTAAATTTTCTCGACTATTTCCTTATTGAATATTTTCCCTTACCTTCACCCATTTCTCATCAGCTCCATTCGATTTCACTTCAAGCTTCAATTTCTCCGTTTTTCCATCTTCCGGATCCATAAAAGTGTCAGATGGGATTGTCATCGAGCACAAAATTCCTCTGGAAAGCAATCAAATCATCAATCAAATCAATCATCATCAAGTTTCTTTCATTAAATTGTTAATAAACTAAATCCGTAACCGTTAGAGAACGAATGGTTGCTTCTTGACTTTAATTTTACTACTTACTCATACTCAATTTATATTTGAAAAGGATGGCTAGAGTATTCTTCACAAATGATTTGTCAATTTTAAAGCTACCTCAATCTTGCCTTCAATTTTTTTGGACTATTTTATTCATGTTACCAAAGAATGAATTTGTAATCTGGGGTATCGCCCTGCATTTCTTGAAGCGTTTCCCCCATAAGCACCATTTTATGGCCAATCCATTCATTTCCCTTCATTCCTTTTCTTTTCGGCTTTATTTTATGTCTTCTATTTTGAAATGGAAATGATTAGCTATTTGGTATTTAGCTATTTGTTGATTTCCCTTCAAAAGAAAAGACAGATGGTCACGGTAATTGAAAGGGTTTTCATATTCAAATTGAAAAAGATAAAGGTGGATTGAAGGGGAATTGAGAAATGGGGAAATGAATATCTTTGCATATGGCTTTGAAATCGTTTTGAATTGATTTAAACGTTTAAATTCTTCATTTACCTGTAACATTTCATCGAAGAAAGCGATCCTAATTTTTTGTGGCGAAGAATCGGAACCTCGACTATTTGGACGAACGGATCTCTTCGTTGTCGTCGTCAGCGTTGTCACTTCAAAGTCCTGAAATCAATTTTCATTGTAATTGAAATATTTGTAATGAAATTTGATGAATTTGATGAATTGATTGAAATTAATTGTAAATGATCTTAATAAATATTATTTTCAAAAGCAAATCACCTCTTCAACAATATCTGGTGCCGAAGTAGCGAAATCGAAATTCGAGATGATATCTTTAACTCCTTGTCTTTCTTGACGTGATCGCACTCGTCCTTGGAAGATCTAAATCATCAAATAATTTGAAAAATTCTAGAATATCATTATTTTCTCTAGATTCTTTGCTCACCTCAGCATTCACCGCCGAAATTTCTCCCGATTTCTGCTTCTCAAAGATGATCTCAAGAATTTGCAGGGCTTTCTCAGGCAAATCTTGTTCCTGTTCATTTCCCTCAGCACAATCACCCTGACTCAAATTGTTTAATTTGCAAATTTTCTTTAAACTAACCGGCACAACAACATGAAATAAATCCTCGAGTCCTTGTTGTAAACTCTCATCATTTCCATTCATCTCAAGCTTTGTCAAGTCTCGAATAGCTTTTCCATATTCTGGTGTGTAGACCTGAAAATGTTAGACATTTTCTATACTTTTCATTTTCAATTAGTTTCCCGGAGCCATTTTTGGTAAAAATTTTAAATAATTTCATGCTTTGTTACCACCAGGGATTCCGATTAGTAAAGAGCTTTTGTTCTTAGGAAAATTTTTTGAGGAAAAGCTCTTCTTTTCCAACTTTTTAACACACCATGCTGGTTATTTTTGAGGGTTTTTCTCCATCAAAACTTAATATCGATTAGAGTTTGTTTCTCTTGAAAATTAGTTTTCTAAAATGTGCCAACTTTTGTAAAATATCGTCAGGAATGACCAGAAGTTAGACCAAGACTGACTTCTGGCCTGATCTTGGTTTTGTCTTGCTTTGTCTTGATTTGTCTTGATTTGTCTTGCTTTGTCTTGCTTTGCCTTGCTTTACCTTGCTTTGTCTTGCTTTGTCTTGATTTGTCTTGCTTTGCCTTGCTTTACCTTGCTTTGTCTTGCTTTGTCTTGCTTTGCCTTGCTTTACCTTGCTTTACCTGGATTGGAGCTGGTAACAGCTCTGCTATTGTAATCTTAAAGTCGTAAAACTAGTGACAGGTTTACGATACTTTTTGAAAGTTGACACGTTTTAGACGGATTTTTTAAGAAGAACAAACTCCAGCATCGATCCAAAGAATAGGGGTTTACCTTCTTTATGAAATGTACGTAGAAATTCTCTTGATCGAAAAGCTAAAGTATTTTGAAAATCTCCATATCACTTTTCTAAAAAATCTCGTTTTTTTTCCTCATTTACCCGAATTTTCTCCAAATCGACTTCAGTGAAATCATGAACCATCTTCGCGGCTCTCACTTTATCTTGCACCAATTTGCTCCCTTCAAATAGAACTTCCACCCAGAAAGAATCCTGTAAAATATTGAAGTTGAGAAATTGTTATTCAAGCTTAAAAACTTACCGTCTCACCACAGGGATTTAAGAATTCTTCGCTGACTTTAAACTCGATCACATTTTCTCCATTGGGATGCGTCACCTGGAATTTTGGCTTTGTTTAAAACTGGTCGCTTGAAAAATTTGGCTTTAGTTTATAACTGGTTGCTCTAAAATACAGTTTGGCACTCGATTTGCAATTTATCTTCGATACTTTAACAGTAAAACTTTCCAGAACCACATTGCTTTGACACTTTCACAGTAAAGCTTAATGATTTTCTTTGATAAAATGCCGTTAGCCTCGTTAAATCGATAGCTTAACTTTATTGTTAATTGTAAAACACAAAAAACCTTGACATAATGTTTGCCGACATGTTCTCCCTGTGGAAGTCCCATTAAAGTCTCTATGTCGAGAGTCAACCAATTACTGATTGGACCACCCGATGCATCTTCGACTCGCGAACCTTGTGGAAGAGACAACGAATAGACCTGAAGAGAAGGGATATTATTTGATACTGATCGATTATATAAAAGAGCAGTGTCTGTCTGTCTGTCTATCTGTCTATCTGTCTATCTGTCTATCTATCTGTCTATCTATCTGTCTGGCTGTCTGTACGGGCATTTTCTCGTCCGTGTTTTAAGCAATAAAGCCAAAACTTCTTTATAAACCATATCTTGTAGTTATGCCATTTAAAATAAAAAATTAGTGGCACTACAGGCGGTCGAACCCGAGTCGTGCGGGCCGCTCGAGTCTGCTAGACAAGCGCGCTCCCGACTGTGCCTTGGCCGAGAAAAACCCGGGGTTATCCGGGTTTTTCGGCTGATATTTAGAATAAAACTGTAGAATCTTGTATTCTTTTCTCACCTGTCCCACATAGAGTTTCACTTCTTTCGGGATTTCGATAGCTGTGATCCCTGAGAATAGTAGAAGTATCAATAACAGCATCCTGAAACTAAGTCAAATATAAAATGAAAAAAAAATGGTATAAAGGTGCATAATAATCGTAAGGTTTAAGGTGTTTTCCGAGAACATGAACATGACAAGAATCCTCTTTTAGATCGTAAAGCTTGTAATAGGTATTTTAAAAAAGGGAAAAGATTGTAGGATCAAGAGAAATTGAAAGAAAGGAAAAGAAAAAAGACAGGTGTTTCCAGATGGGGAAAAGAGGAGAGACCCATCCATTTTAGGTTAGACAAGGCTCCCTTCCTTTCTTTTTCTCTTGATCACAATTCCTCATTTCCCCCGCCCATTTACTCAATCACAATTATGAGTTGAGATTTCAAATTTCTTTTATTTACGAATCTTACAAGCCAATCAAAGCCAATCAAAATAGATAATTGCAAAATTTAGGTATCTTGTTTACAAACGAGCTTTTTCAAACCTTACAAGTGATTCATTTAAAGTCAAATAATAAGGCTTTATTAGCCTAATGCTTTATAAGTCTGTAAAGCTTTACAGTCGATTCATTAGCTTGAAACTACTCAAAAAAAAAAGAGAAAAACAGGATTAAATCCCAAATGAAAAATGAAATGAACTGAAAAATGAACTAAAATTACAAAATCTTTTCCTTTATTTTATTTCTTTTATATAAGATTCCCAAAGACCAGCTGCTTTATTTCATTTCATTGAAATTTTCAAAGAAATTTCTATTGGAAAGTCTCAAAGCACAGCTGCATGCAAATGAAATGCCATCCTTTGGGAGTCACTAAAAAAGGAAAACAGAAGATACTTAAAAAGAGAATTTCTAACGAAAGAGTTTTCGTCAAACTAGCAAAATGTTGAGGAAGTTTGATCGGAATTGGTATAGAGAAAGGCTTCAGCATTATATCAGAATACATAACAAGAAGCAAGAGTTTTCCGAAGCCCCTAGTACTCCCTACAGGGTGGCCATTCTTCTTACCCATCTCTTTCTTTGTACCCATCCCGTTTCCTCTTCTCTCTTATGCTAATTCAATCGCTTTTCATCTATCACCGTTCCTCCCCAATAAATGGACCTTCTTTAGCATTTGTGGAACCAATTTCAGTAATGCTTGTGTTCTAAAGGAGACTTATAACAACTTATAACAACTTATAACAATCAACAAATCAATCTGATGTTGAATATCTCTTCAAAATAAGGATTAAAGGATCTGGACTAGGACTAGGGTTAAAAGACCTGGACTAGGACTAGGATTAAAAGACCTGGACTTCTGAAAGCACTTCAGAAAACATACACAGATTTGTGTTCCTTTAAACAAATCTAGAATTGTATTTAGGTTCTGGATTAAGAAGCGCGAGTTGATGAACTCAAAAATTGAAATATACCAAGTTTAGATAACATTTGATTGTTGTAATTGAAGATTTAGTGGATTACAAGAGTCAAAGTGTCAAAGTGTCAAAGTCAAAGTCAAAGTCAGTCGAAGTCAAAGTCAAAGAGTCAAAGTGTGTTTCTGGGAATATTGAAATGAAACCGGAAAGTCTCCTTCTTTTCTCTTTCTTTAAATTCTTTATGAGTCATTTTTAGGAAACGATTGCTTATCGCTCCTCCTCTTCCCTTCCCTTCTTATTCACACATTTTGAAAAGCTCTCGAAAGATTTTATGCCATTCGTCGAGAAGAAAAGCACTCCAATAACATTCAATAGATTTTAGTCATCAAAATGAGAAAAAAAAAATGAGGCTTTGATGGTGATTGATGATGATGAATTAACGGAAATGAAGAAATGAAGTATGGATTTAAAACAGTGATCAATCAAGGGCATCTGCCTGTGCAAAATGGCAGTTATTTAAGGTTAGAGTGATCAAAATTCGAAATTTTTGTCAAAATCTTGAGACTAAAGACAAGATTACAGTAGTTTTTGGAAGAGGAAAGGTTTTAGGAAAACATTATTTGAGAATAAGACAGGCTCTTGTCTTGCAATAATAAAGGTAGCAATTTTGCAAGAATTTCTTTGAATTTGCATGGATTTTGTTAACAAATGTGGCAACAATATACAACAAACATATAAACAAATGTGCCATTAATATAAGGGTTCTTCAGCTCTGAGATTTGACATATAAAGCATAGAATCTGAGGGACATATGGGAGAGGTTATGTGAGAAGAGAAAAGAGATCACCCTTGAATATCCCTTAAAGGCAATCGGTCACCAATCCTTCCACAATTACCCTATCATCCTCGATTCTTTTTATTTCCCCTTTCTTTTTCTCTCATCAAATGAGGATCGTATTTTGCGATTCCGTGTGATCCGTCTGCCTTTCCCTTTTCTCTCAAACACTTTTCTCGAGGGACACACGCAGCTGCACCCATCGTTTCCACCAATAAAATATAAAACTGTCATTCAACAATAACTCTGACTGGGTAGCTTTTGAAGGGAAAGGGAAGAATGGGAAAAGAATTGATAAGGGGCAGCAAAACTGATCAAGAATATTTAGGTTTTGAAACAGACTTGTAAAATAGATACAAATCTTTAGATCTTTAGAACTTTAGATTATACAAATATACAAATTAAGTATACAAATATTATACAAATATACAAATCACCAAAAGAATAGGAAAAGAATTGATAAGGGTAGCAAAACTGATCAAGAATAGTTAGGTTTTGAAATAGACTTGTAAAACAGAAACAGACTTTTAGATCTTTAGCTCTTTTGATCTTTAGAACTTTAGATTATACAAATAAACTTTAAATTAAAAGTTAAAAGATGTCAGCTTTGTTATCCAATACAGTAGATTAAAAGTTTTAAAATAGATGTCAGATTTGATATCAAATTTTCGATAAGAGCAAGAGAGTTGAGTAGCGATGACAGGTGGGCGACAAGAAAACCTAGTAGGGCATCACTTTTCTTGACATATCCCATATCTAAAAAGGATCAAGTGATGATAGATATAAGAAATACTTGACTGAGATTCTTAAATCAAGAGATTTCTTGTCGATCTCAAGCACTCCATCCCCGCCGTCCATCCCCTCAACTGTTACGCCATCCAAGTAGTCTTTGAAGAAGACCGCCTACCTTTGGAGTCTTTATCAAGTTTTAGAACAAAGGTTTTTAGTCTACTACTAGTCAACAAAGTAAAGCCAAAAAAAAAGTATCAAATATGACTTTTTCTAAAAGGTGAAAACCTTGAAAACAAGTTACTCTTGTATTTTTAACTCTAGGTTTAGCCAATGAAATCCAAGCAAATGTAGCTATTGTTTAATGTTTGATGATTTAAAAAAGAATACAAAAGTAGATAGATTAAATAAAATTTATTTTTAGCCAAGATTAGTTTTCGAAAATTGATATGTTTTAGAAAGAATGAGAGAACTTTTAGAAAACAAAAGGAGACTCGAAAATTGTCACTCTTTCTCAACAAGTTATGAGGCACTTAAATGAATTGTTACAAGTGGATGAGGGGATTCAAATCGAATGAAGAATGTGTGATTGTGAAGTGATTGAGGGGGGGGGATGTTGTTGAGAGTGTTCCCTCATGTGTCCAGATGGCCGATGGGGTGTCACCACAAAAAGATGAACAATCATAAAAGAGTGAAATCTCTCGTGTGAAATACCCATCTATCGAAGGATTTGTGACATAACGCTCATCTGTACTCATACATTTATCTCTCCTCCAATCCCAATCTCTGTTCCCATGGGGGTTCTCATAAATGAAACCGTAAATCATCGTCTTAGAGATCGATAATCATCAGCCAACTTCAAATCAAGATTCTTTAATGGTTTTTGATCATTTACGGTCTTTATCTCACTAGATATTGAGAAAGATCTCACTAGATATTGTGGGGGGAAAAAGGTTGATGGCTCGTTTACGCAATGGTTCTCCTGTTAGCTCCTGTTTGAAGGCAATTATCATAGCTTTAACTATTAGGTGGTTCGGATATAAACAAGCGTTGCTAAACTTATTGTTGTGAGAGAAGCTTTTAAAACATGTCTTTCTGTATTTAAAAGTACGTTATCTTGTGCATATTTGGAATTTTTTTTAAACGGATAATTTCTTATTTTTAAGATCTTTTTTCTTGCTTTAGATGACCGACTTCAAATATATCATGTTCGCGTTCGCCTACCGTCTGCCTACGTCTGCCTACGTCTGCCTACGTCTGCCTACGTCTGCCTACGTCTGCCTACGTCTGCCTACGTCTGCCTACGTCTGCCTATGTCTGCCTACGTCTGCCTACGTCTGCCTACGTCTGCCTACGTCTGCCTACGTCTGCCTACCGTCTGCCTACTTCAAACTGGGCAAAACAGTCGCGGAATCCCATCGAGATTTGGTCAAAGCATTTGGAAATGATGTATTGTCCGAAAGCCGATGCCGAGCCTGGTTCCAACACTTTCGGAATGGTGATGAAAGTCTCGAGGATGATGAACACTCTCGTCGACCTCAAGCGGTAGACAACGATATTTTGAAGGCTGCAATCGAATCGGATCCATGTCAAACGACGCGTGAACTTGCTCAACAGTTTCTATGTTCAAATTCTACTATTGATGAACATCTTCACACCATTGGAAAAACGATCAGATGCGGGAAATGGCTTCCTCAAGAGTTAAGCAGTGCAAACGCTCGTTTATATCCGAACAACCTAATATATCATGAATGCATCAATATTTACATACATTCCAATGAATATACTTTTAGAAAAGTTAGGAAAAGATAAGAGACATTGATAGTCAGCATGCAGCCGCCAACAAAATTGAATTTATGAAAAAAGGCGACGAAAACGAAAGACGAAAAAGATGAAATCCAATTTCAAACAACTGGCTATTAGACAAAACTTGAAAATCTTTGTAAGAAATAGCTTTCTACCAAGAAAATCTTTGTAAGAATAAGCTTTCCACCAAGAAAAACTTTTCCCTCTTTTGATCAAGAAATTCAACGAAATTCGAATGTTTACAAAGAGTTTTTTCCTATTTAGAGAGCCTTTTCAGAATGATTTGTTGATCAAAAGAGGGAAAAGACGATAAAATCAAAGAATTTCG